AACTAAGCACTGATGGTCAGGTCATAAATGTGCTTGGGTTATTAAGGATCTGGGTGTATCATACTCAAAGAGACTCAATCTTTCGGAGTACTGTGCCTTCATAGTCTCCAAAGCACGTTGAACGACCGGGTTTATCCTCCGAAACTTTAAAACTAGTGACATTAGAATGCGCCTTTTCAACATCTACGTTAGACCTGGTCTGGAATACGGTTCGTTTTTATTTAGCCTCATGCGTGCTACTGAGCGGAAGAAAATAGAATCCGTTCAACTCTTTTTCACCAAGAAAATTTTAACCCCGGAATACCGACATTTGTTTTACCAAGAACGTTGCCGGCTTACAGGCCTTGATCCTTTATGGTTTCAGAGATCACAAAAGGGACTATTTTTGCTATTTAAACTCTTATCTAATCACCCCTTTAACCCAATCACTACTTTAAGACATCATGTTCACCCCCCGAGGAAGCAGTCACCGTGAGGTCTTTTTATTTCTTCCTCTTGCACGTACTGTTAAATATCGTCGGTTCTTTTCTGTAAATGCAATTGTTATTTGGAATAAACTACCCAGGAATGTGAAAACTCTGCAAAAATATCCTTTACTTAAGAGAACTATTACTCGATTTTTGCATTCAGAAAAGCTCCCACAAATTTTGGGTGCTCAATCCACTGATCGACTCTAGCATTGCGATGGAGTTTGTGGTCTCTGACCACTATGGCCGGTCTCACTAGGGACAATTTCTTTGGCCAACAGTGACAGCTGTTCTTCGGCGCTTCTGTTTGGACTAGCTCCAACTTCATTAAAGATATTGGCGACTGATAATATCCGATACCGTGCAACCCCTCCCATCAATCCCTCCTTCAAGTTTGTTTTTTTTATTCCTTTTCGACAGGAGTTTTTTACCCTGTTGGCCAGATTTGTGTTTAAGGCTTACCCGACAATGCCTGTAAACTGGAATTAAATAAAATTATTATTATTAATATCTGTGTTACGAAGTCAGACTGGCTGTACTAAATCCGTTTCTTTTCAAATCTACCGGATTGTCGGGGTCCGTTTATGTGCCCCAGACTTTGACGACTTCTTCGAATTGGCTGGAACGGACCGTCTGCGTGGTCATCCCTTTGAACTGCAAAAGAAGCAGGCCCACAGAGACTTACCGCGGAACGCCTTCTCGCGGACGGTTATTCGAGCATTAAATGGACTCAATGACGTTGTGGTTCTCTCCGGAATCGTAAGATCCTTTAAATGCGTGCTACTATTTGGGCAGAATAATTTAGGATAGTTCGAGTGAACCCTAAGAATCACGTGAGGAGCTTTGCCGGGGTGCACAAAATGCCCTGAATTAAATTCATGCGCGAGAATGGCGCTGCTTATGCTCCTAGTTTCGCCTTTTCCCAACCCCACTGAGATGTGCTCTTGCATATTCTTGGATAGGCGTCGACCTGTGCAAACAACATAACTTGTTCCTCAGGAAAAAGTGAGTGAATAGATGTACATCGAGGTGGTCTGAGGTGGCAACCACCCCATGCCTTCTCCGCGTAAAATAGGGTTAGTAGAAAATGATATTTGGAGCCTTGCTGTTGGGAAGGTTCGTGAGACAGCTTGATCAAGGCGTCTCCTTAGAAGTTCACTCGCAGACTCCCCTTAAAAACAGACATTGAGGAACAAAACTTTATATTCGGCGGTCATTGTGGTGGGTTTTACAGGTCTTTCGGTAAAGTTCTTTGCAATAAACTTCTCAGGATACCCGTTTTCGCGAAGCAAGTCCTGGATTGTTCTCAGCTTCTTCTCAATGCTTTATTTTGGACAAATTCTTCTGGCTCTTTGTGCCAAACATCGCAATAGATTTCGTTTTTGTTGGAGAGGTACGAAACTGGCGAAGTTCGTGTATTGTCTAGACCAGGTTTCCTCCCGATGGACGCTCCTTCGGACGCTACCGTCAGTTCTCGTGCTTAGAAGAACATCCAAGAAAGGGAGCGAACCGACCGTTTCCATCTCCAACGTGAATTTGGTCGACGGATGTGCCTGATTTACAGCATTAAAGAGGGTAGCTACGGCGGTTTCCGTAGTGGCAATTGCAAAGATATCGTCAGCATTGCGATCGTAGCTAAAATCTATCAAGGTTACCCATAAATAAATCGGCCGAGGGAGGTCCGCCAGGCAGGCCCATAGCGCCCTGTGTTTCAAAGAGCCTGACAGTGCCCAAGAGAACAAATTATATTCGATTTTATAGTGCAATCCCATTCTCCCCGCCTATGTTTTAATACGAACTTTCATCGATTTTCCAGTCACTGATATGCACTGGCCTGAAGGACATTTACTGAAATTTAAACCAATTCCTTCAAACATGGCACTGATAACTACCTGCTCGAAACACAACTCTTGTTTTACTTTACTGTAGGCAGCTTCGCCATCTAAATCATAGTTTTTATTCCAGTGATAACGCTCTCAGAGCACGCGCCGACAATTTTTCACTATGAGAAAAATAAGGTACTCACCGGATCAAGAAAATTGTATTGCGGACTTTTTGGAGAGCATGACCGAATCTCCATTATCGCAGACTTTAATTTAAAAATCGACCATAATTTT